GTAAAAACAAGAAGTAATAGCCAACTCTGGGTCTGCAGTTTAAAGACATGGCATTTGGGCCAGGTCAACTGCTGACAATAAAGGTGACCTGGGGATTGTTAATAGTCTTTCTAAATTTTATGCTGAGTACCTTACCTTTTATTTATTATCCTTTGACTTGGTCTGCTGCTGTTCTATCCCATGGCATTTGTTGCACATTTCACTTAGAAATGTTGATGACATGAAGACCACTTAAGCTGTTAATACAGAGTGTACATGCACACCTAGAACTTGAGGCCCATCAGCTCCTGTTTTTAATGTGTTTTGTTTTTTTTTAAACTTTAAAACAAACAAAACCTTATGCTGCCAATTTTAAGCTTAACCACTGTTTTAAAGTCAAGCTATTAATCCAAGATAGTGTACGTGGCATATTTTATGGGAAAGGTGGAAGAACAGGAGTGTTGATGAATTCTTAACTAAACCTGTTCCAGGACAGATTGTTAACATTCTTACAGAACATCAGCTTAAATTACTCTGTGTCAGTGGTCGGTAACTTTTTCAGAGCCACGGGTCATAACAACCCAGCTTAAGTCCAAGGCAGGCTGGCATTCCAGTGCAGCTCCTTGCTGCTTGGCCCTGGCACAGGCATGGCTGAAGCCCTCTGGCTCTGCAGTGTGGATCTGTAGGCTCTGCAGGGCGGATCTGGCTGTAATGTTGCCAACCACAGCTATTTGTAGTTCTTCAATTTATAATCCTGGCTACTTACTATTCAGCTAGTTCTCTCAACCAGTGGTCTGAGGCCATAAATAAAAAACCTCGGGTGATGCTGAAAACTAAGAAGTAATCCATAGATAAGATAGGATTTTCAGATTGCTTTTCTTAATTTGGCTGTCTGTGCCTTCTCTTAAGGAGTGTAACTTGTGTTTTTTCTATTTTCTGAAAGTTTCTGAAGCCAAGGTCAGTCCATTGTGAATGACTCATAGTAGTGCATCATTTTGAACTAAACACTGCAGTGGTTCTGTCTTCAGTTAATCCTTACTAGTTAAAGTGCCATATGTATTTATTTTTCAGTGTTTACTGTTTTATCAAATAAAGGATTAAATTTTGATGAATCAACAATCCCTTTCCAAGGATGGTGACCAATTCTTATTGGTTTACTTCTTGTATAGCATAATATTGCTGTGTTGCAATGTAATCTTTGTTAGACTAAAAAAAATACTACTATATAAAAGAAACAAGTGTAGCCCAGTAGTTAAGAAATGGAGTGAGCTAAAAGGACTTTTTAGGCCATCTTTTTACGTTGGGTTCTAGGTGGATTTTTCGGGTAACTTAGACTCTGGGGGAGGGGGAAAGCGTCTAAGTTATGACAACCAGAATCTTTGCAACATTAGCTGTATAGCTATACCAATTACAGTGGGGCTTGTGTAGAGGTCTTATAGTATAACCTTCAGTTTGTGTATTGAGACAATTCTGCAGAGACAAAAAGCAGGGCTACAGGAATCTTTGTTCAATCCTGATCCTCTTTAAACCTTTACAGTAGCGTGACTAGGGTGGGGCAAGCAGGGCACCAGCCCTGGGTACTGACTTAAAGGGGGTACCAGTATGCCCTGCCACTCCAACCCTTCTGGGAGGCTTTACTGTAGGAGGCACAGCCCTGCCCCTGGGGTTGGGTGGGGAGGAGAGATGAACAGGGCACCAGGAGCAGCCCCCAAAGAGCCTATACACAGCCTGTCCTTCAGGAGCAGTCTGAGCCTGTACTGCTATGGCAGCAGCACTAGCAGCTACCACTCTGGTGAGGAGAGTCCTGTCAAGTAAGACTCCTCATTCTCCCACCCCCAGGGGTTTGCATAATTCTCCCATCTGCCTCAGGCTCTGAAAGATCCCCTCCCCTAGGTGTTGAAAGAGTTTGCCGTGCCTATGGCTTACATGAAGGGGCAGAGTATGCATGGACAGGAGGAAGAATCTTATCTTACCTAGTACTTACTGAACACAGGCAGTAAGTCTGTCATCTCAGTGTGTTTAATGGGACAGATTTTACTTGAGAGCCTAAATTACTTCACACTCTTAAATTTACTTTTTTTTGAGTCGGAGCAACTGGCATGTATCTGCATACCTCATGGTACTGAATGATTCAGTATTGCTTGCTAAAAGGTTACTAAACACTATCCTTTTGCTTGTCAGTAAAAGGAAATGTTCCTTTTATATGTGTGCCTTTTATAAAATGCCAGAGTCAATCTTTAAATCTAATTATTTGGATTAAAAATTAATCTGACATTTATGGTGAAGTCATCTCTACCTGCAAATTTGTTTTTTGTGTCCTAAAGGTACTGGTTGAAGACAATTGTGCAGTCTATTTGACTTTGTTATAATTTGTTAGAAGCTTGCAGAATTTTTTTTACTTGGTTTTAAACCTTAGACTTTTTCACAGTGGGTTAACAATCAGTTTTGATGTTTTCTTCCAAACCAATGAAGTAATCATTTTCTGGAATATTAAACTTTCAGCATAAGCAGAGCAAATATTTTAGCTAATCCAGATGGTTTTGAGATTTATTTTTTCCCTCAGCCCACTTTCTAATCAGATGAAAATGAGCTACATATTGTATGAGTACATCTAAAAATCTGCAGAGCTCAGTATTTGATCTTGGGAGAGGCTTTTTTCCCATTTTTTTTGTAAGTGTATTAGGCATTTAAGTGCTTTTACATTTTACCCCTAATTATTAGTCTTTATGTAGGCAATGTAAAGCTAAACTTTCAAAGTCTATCTTACAAGGTGTGTGTATGACAGGAGGATAATTCAAAAACCATGATGGGAGGGAAATGTTGCATCAAGGGACTATCTCTTTGAAGCTGTTACCAGTGTAGGAGTCTAACCAGGGATTGATAAACTTAAATCAGATGATGGGGAATGTGTGCTCCTGGTTTTCATAGATTTCGTAGACATTTGGGCTGGAAGGGACCCTGGAGGATCATCAAGTCCAGCCCCCTGCCCCAGGGTCAGGAAGCAGCAGGAATCATAGGATCCCGGCAAGATAAGCATCCAAATGTGTCCTGAAGGCGTTCAAAGTGGGTGCTTGAACCATTTCTGGCGGCAGTCTATTTCAAACCTTGGGGGCTCAGACAGTGAAGAAGTTCTTCCTTGTGTCCAGCCTGAATCAGTCACAGCAGAGTTTGTGACCGTTCAATCTTGTCATCCCTTGGTGTTCTGGAGAACAGACGTTCCCCCAGATCCTGATGAGCACCCCGATAAACTTATAGGTGGCCACCAGATCACCCCTGAGCCTGCACTTTTCCAGGCTGAAAAGTCCCATGGCTCTCAGCCTCTCATCATAAGGTCTGTTTTCCTGACCTCTAATCATGCGCGTGGCTCTTCTCTGGACTCTCTTTTGGCAACCCTCACTGTAAAGAACTTTCTCGTGATGTCCCATCTGAATTTTCTCTCCAAGTTTGTGGCCATTATTTCTAGTTACAGCAACAGGCACCCTAATAAACATTGTATCCTCTATTTTGTGCTGGCCCCCACAATGAGTTTTTAGGTGGCCACGAGATCACCTCTCAGCCTCCTCTTGCAGAGGCTGAAGAGGTTCAGGTCTCCCAATTGGTCCACATAGGGTTTTTTCTGTAGGCCTTTAACCAGAAAGGTGGCCCTCCTCTGAACCCTCTCCAGGCCATCCACATCCCTCCTGAAGTGCAGTGCCCAAAACTGGACACAGTACTTCAGCTGCGGCCTGACCTTTTTGAGGAGGTTGTTTTGACCATATGCTAAATAAGAGAGAGCTCATTTTATCTCCCAAACTTTTAGTTTAAAATGTATAATATTAAACTGTAAATATCAAAGTGGACTTGGTTATTTAAGAATACAAATACTTAAAAATGAAATTAAAATATAGATATATTATTTAAAATTTTATTTATTTATTTATTTATTTTAAACTTAGTAATGCTACTACCATAAAACAGTTGGTTAGAAACCTAGTCACAGAATTGAACTTTGTAGCAGACACTTTCTGAACTTTATTGCATTCAGCACATTGCTTCCTAAAATGCAACTTAAAGCTGACATGCTGATTTTAAATATTTGATATGTGGTAGCTCAGTAATTGAACTCTTTGTTGATTGTCTCTGTTTTATATCCATTACTGTAACCTAACCTGTTGCTTAGTTATATGTTTAACCTAAAAACCAGAGAGGAGGGGTAAGATTTAATAGTATCCTAATGTGCTACAGTACTTAAAGATTTAAAGTTATACCTATAAACAGATAGGCACATGCCTTCAGTGTCAACAGAGCCTTCATATGCTGATAGGTCCACTGGAGTAATGACTAAATTGTTACTTATGAAGGCTGTGAAAAGCATTACCAACTGGAACTATATTAAACAACTCAATTTTGCTGTTGTTTGAGTAATCAGTGGTGATATAGAAGAAAGTACTGTGATCCTAAATGGCATGTGTTCAACATGGTTTTTTCTAAATAAAACAAATTAATAGTTAATTTGAATGAGTATATTTTAAATCAGAAGGTCACTTCAGCTTTCTGTCTTTCACTGGTGTAATATATTCACTGCAGAAGCTAACTGTTGTGAAAGCCTTCTTGGGTATTTTACATATGGTTCAATACATGGCAAAAACACTCTTCGTACAGTAAAAAAAAAAATCCTTGAGCTCTGAAGTACTAAAACTATTAACCAAAAAAGAAAGAAAACTACCAGTCAGTTACATTTATATAAGAGTCTGTCACAAAAAGGAACAGAACATTTGTACCTTTCCAGGGACCCTCGAAGTCTATCAGCCTTTGCTAGAAGGCTCAGCAAATGAATGGACCTGGTAGGATGGACATGGAGGTTGATCAGCTTGAGCTGTTGCAGGCGTGGTGAAGTTCTAAAGACAGTAGATACTGCAAGTTTGCTGAATCCCAGTGAAGTACCATGAAGTGCATATGCATACAGACTATCCATGCTGATTCATCCAAAATGAGAGAAGTACAGAGTAAACAAATCCTTTTTTGTATGCATTTACTTGCAGGCCTCCTTCCACAGCAATGTCTGTAGCAATTGCTGGAGAATCAGAATCCTTGCACGAAGACAGGAAAGGTGGAGAGAATTTGAAAGTACATCATCTAGGTGTATCAGGTATGAAATGATGCTAGCGGCTTTTCTCATTTCTTTAAGACTTGAATAAGTAGCAGCAAATACATTTGCAATGTATTTTGCATAGTGAATCACTGACAGATGACTTTTTTTCCTTCCCAATTGTTGCGAAATACAGTGATTGCATTGTGTTAACAATTGTTCATCTGTAGTGGTGTAGTTGAGAGTATTATTTCTGAGTTAGAGGGAGGAAAAGATTTAATGTAGCAAATGTCTCAAAAGATCCTAGTGTTTTAAAGATTTAGATCTGCTTTTCAGCACATTGTAGTGGAGTTACTCTGGATTTGTATTCAGTAGAAGTGGTTGTGAACTCTGGCCCTTACCATTCTAAATTCTTCATGCTTTTGTGGATATGTTGGACCCTTAATGTTTCAGAAACTTGCTATAATCTTATTCAATGCATTACAAGTAAACTGTGTTTAATTAAGTCTTTATGATTTGCTTAATTCACATAGCGCTTAACTTGAGTGCTAAAATAATTCTCTTAGTTCTAAAAATGATTTAATTGTCAGGTGAAACTATCTTTTTTTACAGACTTCTATCATTAACACAGTTAAGGACAAGGAAGAAAAATATTCTGTCAACTGAAACTAGTATAGCCAACTTCAAGAAACTTCCAATCTAGAAACCAGCTATCATATCCAGGTTAACAGTGCTCAGGACACAAGCAGCTGGACCTTGCCTTGTATGTCATCTTTAAAACTCCACTTGAGTTTATTCTTGATCATCTTGGGAATGAGTTAATTACTGATTTTTTTTTTTTTTTTT